TTCTAAATCTGTTTTTGGTACTGAACTTCCAGTTTCCCCTCTAACATTTAAGTGTAAGAGGAATTAAAAACTTCTGGAAGTTGGAGAACCCTTTCCAAAAGCATGTGAGAGAAGAAACAGTTGATTACTTACTATGATTGGAGCTGCTGCCAACAACAAGCACTGAAGTTATTTTCATTCTAGAACTGGCATTGAGTTAAAAGGAAGGTGATGCAGCAGCTTGCTCTACACACCGGTACAGCATGAGGCTTTGTGAGGTGAATACAAGAATTGCACACTGGACAAGTGCATTTCCCTTGTCTTTGCTTTGTCTAGAGCATTGCCCACCTAGCTCCATCTGAAACAATGAGGCTTTTAACTAAATTTTGTCTTCTAGGTGCGCTCAGTTTGAGGGCATGAATCAGCTTCAGGTGAGACAGCTACAAACCATAGGTACATCTGAACTTGTCAGAGCAGTTCCCAAGTCCCTGGCCTGTGGAATGTTCTGTGTGGTGCTCATGGTAAGCAAAGTTCTTTTATTAGACATGGATTCAAAATCAGAAGAGGAAAATGAGACTTCCTGGGACCTGAGGCTCATGGTGAAGCATTCAGGAATTTTTATCACACTTATTATTTATACTGGTTTTAGACCTCTGGCAAAGGTATCTTCAGAAACCTAAATTTCCTCTAAATCCAAATGGTTTAAAACTGAAGTTGTTATTTTCCAGCCACTGTAAAATCCCCATTTAGAGACTTCTGGTAGCCAGAGCTTGTTGACAGGGACATGATTTGGATGCTTGGATTTGGCACATCTGGCTCATCAGAAGTTTTCCTGGGCAAGAGCTCCAGGACTTGGTACATGAGAAACTTATGGGAGCTGATGGGAGAAGTTTCTAGCACACCCAGAAGAACAATAGGAATCCAAATCACAGGTATCAGATGCAGTAGCTTTGATGCACTGCAAAAAACCTCAATCTACCCAAAATAAGGAGCATTGCTGAGTGTATGCACTCCCTGCAGTCAGAGCAAATTTGTCCTTAGTGCCATGGTGTTAGGAGGGCTGCCATGGTGAGTTCAGCATTTTCAGTGCATATATGCCATCAAGCTGGAAGTGCAATGCTCCATTTGAGCCTGTTTCTAGGACAAAAGGTCAGCCTTATTCCTCTGCACAGTACTGGTGTTTAAATAATTACAAATAAGCAGAACTGAGAGTAATGGACATTCTGGAAATGCTTCACAAATACTGGAGATTGAATTTCCTGATATTTGGGAAGGTAACTTTGGCCATGGGCTGGCCCAGCCTACCATTCACCTGCCTCTCAGTGCTGTTACTGGGGTGTGCCTGAGAATGCACCACGGGTGTTTTATGGCAGGGCTGTGCTCTCACCTGCCAGCTGCTTCCTCAGGTAAAGGGAGGAACAAGGAGCTGGCTGGGGAGACGTGCCCAAGAATCCTTTGGGGAGATCAGATAGAACTGTAAAGTGAATTCAACAGAGACTCTAAGATGTTCAAATAGTGAGGAGGAGCCATGGAGAAAATACACCCTATGGAAAGCCATAGCAAGGGTCTTTATGGACTGAGGCTTAGGCTGAAACTCCCTGTATAAGGCTAAAGGCTGTCAGGGTGGAATGGGAGTAGCCATTATGCAAGCTTGTCTGGGGAAGGAAAAACCAAGATAAAAGCTTCAGGAGCTCTTCTTTCTCTTACAATCCACTGTTATCTTAGATGGTTGTGCCCAGCTTTTGGGAAGCCTCATAGCCAGCTTCCAAACCTGCGCTATCTGTGTGATCTCTGGTTTCCCTTGTGTCAAACACTGGGAACAAGCAGGGTGCCAATGCCTCTGAGCTGAATTTCTGATTGGAGAGGCTACACCTCTGAGGTCCTGCAAGGAATTCTCAGGCTGACAGGAGAGCTGATGGCCTTTAACACGTTGCTTCACTTCTTTGGCATGTGAGCATGCTTATGAGTGAGAGAAATGGATACTGGGAAGAGCTGGGGTCACCTCATAGTTGTGTTACTCATCTGGAACCAGTCTGTGGCTGCTGTGAGATGTAAGGTATGCTGCAGCCCTCACACGGATACTGTAAGGGGAGTCCTACGGGCTTGCTGAATTCTTGGGATAACTGCAGAGAGCTCTGCACCTCGTGCTACAGATCACGCTGCCTGTCCTCTACGAGAATGGGGCAGCACAGCTCTGCTGCCTGCCAGCCTGAGCCTCTGTTGGAGTCTCTCTCTCAGGTTTCAGAGGCCTCCCTACTCCATTTATGTAGCCTTTCCTTGCCCTTCTCAAGGTCCGATTTCATTCCCCCAAAGTGGTAGGGCTGGAAGGATTGCAGGGGAAGCTGTGTGTGCTAGAGCCTGTGATCTACAAGAGCAGCAAGGGCACAGCAGCAGCCTGTGTTGGTGCCTGTGGGGATGCCTGGCATTCCTCCAGCCTAAAACGTGGTGTTGGGTTGAGAGCCTAGGCTTTTTGCAGGCCAGTGTCACAGCTTCAAAGATGAATGCAAGTGAAGGTTTGTGTATTGTCACCTGGCTGTTGGACACACCTCCTGGCCTTTGCTGTCAGCTAGAATTAGCTTAGTGGGTGACTTAAAAGGTACCATTAGGAACCCAGCTATTCTGGAGACTTTCTACAGGGAACAGAAAGTCCCATGCACAGTACTTCATCCTTGATTTTGGTACCCTTCACTTGAATTAACAATTCTTGTTGCCACTCAACTGCCTGACACCCTGGAGTCATCCTAGTCTTTCTTTAAGGCGGCTGAAATGGAGATAAGCTATGGGTGGGGTGCTCTACAGCTCAGATGATTTGTTGAGCCAGTGGCAACTGCTGTTTCTTCTTTTTCCCTTCCCAGTGATGCTTTAGCCCTGTGACATGCTCAACTTCCGCTGGCCCACAACCTGCTACAGGTTTTGAAACTGGATCCCTTGACTGGCTGTGACCCGTGCTGGGGCAATGGCTGGGGCAGATTAATTTACTGCTCACCTGTTTGCACATCACTTGCTTTACTACTGGAATACAAACTGAAGGTGGCTGTTTCTGAATGAAGCAGATTTCACTAAAGAAAACAGGAAGATTGGACTGCTTGTATCTGTTTGGTTGTTTTGGAGAGTGAGAAATGATTTTTGTTAAAACCACTGTTGCTGTTCTGTTCCTTGTAATCTCTGTACACACCAGGTGTCAGCTCTTGAGAACAGCAGGGTAAGTGCTTGGGAAGTGCCAGAGAAAAAATGACGGCTTTGGAGACATCACACAGCTGCACTTGCTTAGGTCTTGTATGCCTGTATGCTCCTGCCTTGGTGGTCAAAAATTAAAGTGGGATACTGGAATTTCCCATAGCTTTCTGAAGTAGGCCTTGAGTTCCAATTCTGTATTTTTTTCACCTTTGCATAAATTTTTAGGTCACAAATACAAGTGCTATGATACAAAGGTGGTATCATGCATTAGGTATACATAGAAAGGTAAAATACATTTGAAGGCCAGTGTTAACAAGTGGCATGTAAATGTCCACACTGCACCTGTGCTCTAGCCAATAATAGGTCTCACTTTAAAAGATGGAATCAGTAACAATTTCCCTTTTGCCAGTCCTTTCTTCCTGTATTCTCTTTAACATTCATCTCTATTGCTATTTCTACTTCTTCCAGGCTGTGGCCTGGGGTTGCACCCTCTCCCAGGTACTCAAACACAGGAACAGTAGTTGTGCACTAAAGGACATTATTAGAACATCTTGTTGGTTAGAAACTGTGCTGTCACCACATTGGAACAGCCTGCCTTAGGGGCTACAAATGAAACTCCTGGGCCTAATTTTTATTTATGCTGATGTTCTAGTTCTCTTACTCATAAACATTGCATAAAACACTGCTGAGGAAACTAGTAGCCCTTTTTTCCCCATTGTCTGATGGAGCCATTTGTACTTGAATAATGAAATGCTGTCAGTTGAGCTGCATCATTCTTACAACTACTCTTGCATAGCTATAAATGATAAAGTATACAGAAATGCAGATAAACAAAATTGTGAAGTCATTCTGCAGCTAAGCCTAAATGAAAATTCTGTAGAAGCTTTAGACACTGGGTGGAACAAGGATAAAAGGACAGCTTGAAACTGGTTGTTTTCTGGTCAGCTGTAAGACATGTAAGCACCTTTTTTCTTTGATCCCGTTAATCTTTACTTGAAATGACCAAAAGCCCCACTTTGCTTTGTAAACAAACAGAATCCTACCTTTGAAAAAAAGAGCAGCAATGACAAAACTGTAGCTTTAAAGGTAAGAGGCCATTTTGTTAGAGCAAAGTAACACTAGCAGGCTTTTGTCTGTTTCTGTTCGAAAAAAAATTGATGTTATGATGTATGTACTCATGGCCCGCATGAATCTGGGCAGAAAAAGGTCTTTACATCGCAGATCACTGCTGCTGACTGCTCCTAAGTTTGTTACGTCTGAAGGATTCAGATATGTAATGGTCTGTGACTGCCTTGTTCTGCTACTGCTTGTGCCAAGACCCGAATATAACGCAAAGTAAAAGGTGACGAGAGAAAAAAATTCAAACCCAATCAACTAAAACCTTCAGAAAAAATCCCCAAACCTTGCAGTGTTGATTAATCTTATCAGTGATGTGGGTCATGCTTGCACATCAAGGTCTTTAAACAACTTAAGTTTTGAGCACCACCTTAAAAGTAAATGTGAATAGAGGAAAGTCAAATCCAAGGCAGCCTGAATTTGCTCTTGGATCTGCAGATAAACTGATTTTATATAGGTAACATTAACTAGAATGTTTTTTCCCTACTATCTGATAGGAGTGCCTCTACAATAACAGAAGCCAGTTCTTTGGACTGGACTGACTGCTCCAGTTTCCAGTTCTTAAACAGACATTTCACTGTGGATCCATTAAACATTCACACTTACAGTTCAGGCAGACAGGTGCTTTCTTTGTGAAAGGTCTGTTTTAATCAATTTATTTCCTCTTTTAAGTTGCATTTACCCAGAAAAAAAAGTCATTGATGTTGAGACAGTTCATCAACAGGAAATATGGTCAAGAAACTGTTTTTATTTATTTTTGTGTTACTTGTATTACAGGAAATGGGTATGTCATTACTTGTGCCTTTCTGTGGGGTTCACTGCTATGGTGTTTTCTTACAGAACTTTTGCATTTACAGAATTTGAAGGTGAAATTCTTATTAATCTTTAATCAGACTCATGTTGACAAGAAGCCAAAGTTTGCTGAGTGACATTTTTTACAATGTGTAAGTCGTAAGTGTAGAGATAGGTAGGGGAAAAAACCCCTAAATTCTGATTATTGACCAGAATGGAGAACTTGGAGTGGAGGGTCACAAGAGTGGGTGAAGTCCTGTCTGAGGAGCAGAGGCTTTATACTTGTATGCATCAAACCAGGCTCTTTAGTTTTCAAACCAGTCCCTGTGTGTCAGAATTCTTTGTAAAATAAAACCAAGTTTCCTAGGGCATGCTTTCTGTTCACCTCTCTGGGGTAAGGAATACAGAAGTTTCCTTGAGGATGGGAGAAAGTCTGTGATCACTTGTGACTGAGCACAAACCCTCCCTGCACTGTACTGACTCAGCCAGGTGGTCACATCTTTTCAACAAGACAGGCTCTGATGGGGGGATGTAGAAGTCCTCTACAATATCTCACCTGCTTTTCAGTGAGCCAGAGCACTCATGCTGCTGGCCAGACTTACAAGCAATCAGCTGAGTATGGCAGATGAAAGGCTGGTGCCCATCTGCCCAGCCACATGTACCTGGCTAAAATAAACTCTGTCTCCTGTCATTGTCAACAAGTGCAATTTATTATTGTGGACAAGGTACCCAGGAAAGTGGGAACTGTGTTCTGCACTGCAGTGCTATGATTGTGCCAGACACATTTTTCTCTGACTGGCTTCCTCTAGCTGTTTTTTGACGCTTCCTTTCTGTCTAAAAGTTTATGCTTCCTAAGTGAAGCAGTGGTCTGTGTCTATTGGAGCTCCTTTAAGCTGCAATGGGCTATCTGGCTGATGGAGTCACAGACTTTGGTTGATGCTCACGAGGCACAGGGGAGGCAGGTGCTGGCAGTTGTTATGTAAGAACTGGTACAACTTGGGCTTCTCCTTGGAGGAAGAGGGTTAGAAACTAACCCAAGGAGATATCAGAGGACAGGCTTTATCCAGGTTCCTAAGACTTCTAGTTCCTCACCTACAGCAGGACAATGTAACTTGCCAGCATTTCCTCAGAACCTGTTGAGCTCATTCTGCAGCAACAGCAATGTCAGGCAATAGCTGTACCCTGATTAAACAATAACCCAAATCAACTTGGGTTGATTTTGTACAATGCATGTACTAACTTAAATTTAACTTAAACCAGAAAATACACCACCTCTTTTACATTTGCTGTACAAGGTGCCTCATGTGTCTTCTTCTACACCGTTTGATGTCCTAGTCATCAAACAGTAAGCAATTCAATCCTTTTCCAAAACCAAAGCCTGATGCAGAATGCTATGCCATGGCTATCATCAGTGCAAGAAATTGAACTTAGCAGTCTCATTAAGTTAAGAACTCTAAGTAAAAAACTGCAGTCATTAATCTACATAGATCTGTTAAAATTTGGATTTTCTTCTTGTGAAATAGTTTAATTTTTAATTTGTGAGCTTCTGCTAGGGGTAACATAGTACACTATAGAAGTTTAATTTTTCATTTGTGAGCTTCTGCTAGGGGTAACTTAGTACACTAGGGAACTGTTTGTCCATTCTGGAAGAGGACATCGTTTGATGTTAAGTTTTAGTTAAGTTGTTGAATTCTTGCAGACTACAACATCTCAGATCTTTATAGCAGGACCACAACTGCGCTATCAATTAATTTATTTAAATCAATAAATATTTCATAACTTATTATTATAGCTCTAAAAATATAAATCTAGTTTTAATATTCTCAAGTTTGTTTCGAGTTATACAGTTATGGGCAAAATACAAAAATTCTTCTGATAACTGATCCTTTATCCTTTAAGATCTAATTTACATAGAGATTAATATCCAATTAATAGTATCCTGCTACAGAGACCTTAGCAGTATTTAAACAGAAATAACTGAAAATAAACCTAACAATTCACTACTGGTTGACGAATGGCAGCTCACCACAGAAGGAACTCTATCCCTGTTTAACTGGTAAGTTTTGGTTACAGTTATGAATAGTTACGTGAAATGTGAAGGGCCTCTTGAAAGTTTTCCTCAAGTTCATCAAGTTGCTTATTGACTTCCAAATCACTGTCACAAGCAAAAAAAGCTGCCTCACAGGTGGGTGAAGTGTCTGGGTGTTCATCAAATTCCACACCACAGAAATCAGACTCTGTCCCAGCACCCATAATTTCTGTGGTATCTTCTGGGAAGTCCTTCTTGCCCCTTGTCTCCCTTGACCTTTTGCTCCGGGGCAGTGATTCACATTTGTTTGGTTTCTTTAAAGACAAGTCCATGGTCTCAAGGAATTCTTCATTTTTTGCAGCTTTCTTCAGCCTGTGACCTTTACTGGTAAACTTGAGCTCTTCTGTTGTATCACACTCCTGCAGATCCCGTGGGCCTGAGGCTTCCTGACCCGCCTGGATGAACTCTGTGTTGCTGTCCTGGCCGCAGCCAAGGTCTGATTTCAGCACATCCAACATCTGGCGCATTTTGCCCTAAGGGGTAAAGGAGGAAAAGGGTGACACTTCTCCAGCCCCCATGGCATCTGAGCTCTGCTCAGACAGGGCTTACCTCTGACAGAAGGAAAGGGAAGCTGCTTGCAATCAAGCGACTAAATGAAACACAGAGTGTCACCAAACTGAATGGAGTGTTGTCCATTCTTTGTCACTGTACCTGTGACTCCCAATACATGAGTGAGCAGATCTCATTTATGGAGAGAGAGAGGCTCCCCACTGAGTATTCTGAGAATTCTGATGGCCTTTACCCTCCAGTATACCCATGCATTTGCCCTGCTCTTTGGAAATGTGACCATATGCAGAGACTACTGTAAGGGCAGCACATACCTCATCAAGGCGGTTCTTATTTTCTTCTATATAGCACTCAAACAGTTGATCCAGAACCCTATAAATAAAAAATCAGATTATTTCACAGGAGGAAAAACAACTTTTACCAGATGTAAATAACCTCATGACTGTATGTTTTTATTTCCATTTCTTAGCTGAATGGCACATCTAAGACTGTTTCAATTCCATTCTGTCACAAAGAGGGCTACTTGTAGTCAGCAACCCACTGGACACATGCTCACCAGGCAGACTTGGCTTTGGGCAATTGTGGGGTGACTTGTAGTACGACTATGTGTGTGTTTGACCTGGTGTGCCTATGTGCTGCAATCCAGTGGTGATTCTGCTGGCATGCTGAAGCACCCAAAATCTCTTGGATGCACCATAGTGGCTGGCTGCTATACACAAGAACAAGTAAAGAGAAAGAATAAAATCCAGCTTCAGTAAAAAAATCCAGAGCAAAGTCCTCAGTCCAGAGAGCTCTCTTCCATTTCTTAGGCTGAATGAGAAAAAATTCTGTAAAGAAATTGTTCTGTGACAACTAAAGTACAGTCACTGGAACAGAATGCTAGAAAGTCAAGTGAATTTAACCTAGCTTACATGAGAAATTATTAAAAAACACAAACCGTAAGAAGGGTTCTAGTGGAAGAAAAAATAACTGTAAAAGAGTCAGAGGTAGACTGCTCTCAAAATTTCTTGAAGATTTATTTTTTTTACTTGGTGTATTTAGTATTCTTACTGACAGCCTTGACATAAGAAGAAAAAAATAAGAGCACATAGAATAGCAAAAACAGCTGGAACATTATCAACCCAAAGCAAGATCAGAATTTTATGAAATTAGACTGCCTTGAATGCAGAATTTCAAAAATGGTTTAACATTCTGTATATATATTCTGTATATGTACAGAAATACTGCAATTTTTTTTGCATAAATTGAGAGTCCTTTATTAGAAAGAACCAGTATCATATTGAAAAAAGATTCTGATTTAGCAGAAGGTGAACTTTTATCTGCAAGAAAATGTAACCCTTGCAACCCATGGTGAAGACCGAATTCATACTGAAACAGGAAAGACAGAAGGGGGACAAAGGACCTGTTGTGTAAAAGATTAGTAACTCAGTTTATTTAGCAAAACAGATGTTGCAGACTAAAATGAGTTCTTAGTATTTTTCCACCTAGGGTTCCAGGTCAGTTTTTAACAGAAGCTTTTATCTCATGGTACATAGCAGCAGATCAAAGTCGATGACCCAAAGGTATTTCCTCGTTCCCATTTGTTACATAAAGCAAAAAAGAAGAGGAACCAAAACAAAAGCAAAGGCTAACTGTGTATATATATGTATAAAGAAATTATAACTAATCACTACTTCCCTTACTTATGGAGTCCATGGGTTTCTGACATAGCATTACAAAATTGAAAACAACTGTAACCCACCTGTTAGAAAATAAGCCAAGTCTAAGAATTTCATTTGTTACATCTTCAATGAAAGTTAAATACAAAAGCTCCTCTTCTCTGCAGGGAGAATAGAAATCCCAATGTTAAATGCTTTACCATAGAAACACATGAGACATATTTTAGTAGGTTTAATCAACTTCACTGGAAAGGCCATTAAGAAGATTTTGTAGTTCTTGTATCAGCAGTTATGTTTCATAAAAGGAAAGGCTATCACAACAAGCGAAGCCTTTTGTTCAATCTGGATAATGAAAAACTGCAAAATTGGAGACTGTTAGAAAGGTGGTCATGGTGCTTTTTCTTTATGCTGACTTTCTGCCGTGGTAAAAATTAGCACAGAGATCCCAAGTGAGAGAATCAGTGAATCTTCGCAAGAGTTCAGAACCTGCACTGCACTCAAGAAAGGGGAGCTAACAGGGAAAAAAGTGAACAATTGCAGTTTGATGCTCTGGGTATAGGCTTCTAAAGGAGCTTCTAGAGAATCTGACTGCAGCTGAAAATTGCTGGTCCTAAATGGAAGCTGAAAAGGATTTAACTCCTTATTTGGCAGCATACACTCATTTCAACATATCTCCTTGATGGATCAAATCTTGTTAGTATGAGATGTGACTTTCACCTCTTATCTCTATTTTAGTACTTCCAAAAGAGTTGTTGATGCCAATTACTCTAAATTGGACACTCTCAAAATGTCTGGAGTTCTGCTTGAAAGACAACAGGAAAGAAAACCCCAAAAGAAAATATTTCAGTGCTGTTTCTCTTTCATAGCATCTTTCTAAGTCTCCCAAAGCATCCAATCAAACTCTATTGAGTCATTCCCCAGTCTTAATAAACAGAAAGTAAAAATGGAATACATCTTGCACAATTTTCATTACATAAAATTTCTTATTGTGCCTAAATATTATAATTTTGGTTTCCTCTATAGTTAAGAAAGTTACCTACAGCTCATATTTGAGACCTCTATTATAAGCCTTAAGTTAGGCATACACAAGCCTGTCCTAAATCACAAAGAATTAAATAACTTTTCCAAGGCCACTTGATGAAGCTTTAGTAGTGTTTCTGAATATAACACAAAACTCTTCTAATTTTCATCACATTTCAGTGCAGAAATGTGGTAAGAATGCCCTTCAATTTGGTGCTTCATTTGCCAATATTTGCTTCAGAGATTACAGACCTAAAAAGAAATGGAAACAAACTATAGGCACTGTACAATCTTCTGAAGTTAAAATGAATTTTGTTTTTTGATTCACATAAAATTTTTAAAGTATTTTATTTTTCAAGTTCATCAGTTTAGAGGAATACCTTCTAATTTGATGTTGTAAATGAGAAGAAAAATGGTTCAAAAGCATACTTACTCAGCATCGACAGTTCTCTTTGGAGAGGACTTCTGAGGACACCAGGATGTCTCTCTAATCAGAAGGCAAGAAAAAGAACAACATTCTAAACCCATTTAATACTACCTTGCAAGTAATTTTCTTCTGGAGCCATGGAGTGCCATTATATGATTTCCTTTCACAAAAAAACCCACCATAACACCCCTAAACCCTGCTCCAGTAGCAAAATCCTCTGCTGGCACTGAAACCTGAAAGACTGAGGCACAACAGTATTACACCACCTCACCTGATGCAGTGCTCAGAAGACCTTGGTGCTACTTCAGATGCTATTCAGTCTCTGTTAGCCATAAGAATGCTTTTTTAACTCAGAGTACATTTTTTTTCCTCAGATAAAAATGCCTTTGTATGAAAAGGCCAGAGAGCAAATCAGCGAGTCATGCGTGACACTTAGGTCAGCAATGAGGAGAATCAGCTCGGAGCCCTTGGGCTCTGGCCTGATTTCCAACACTGTTCTTGTATTGCAGCTATCCCAGCACTAAGTTTTCAGAAAAAGATGTGGGAAATGCTCCCGCAAAGCAGTATTTAGTTATAATACCATATAGTCTGTGAGCTCAGATGTACAGAACTAACATCTGTATTAGTGCCTCATCAGTCAATTCTGACAAAAATACTCTTATATTTCAGAGCGCTCTTTCGTAATTGGCTTCCCGGTGGAACTTATCACAAGAAAATAATGAATTTTGAAGTTGGGAAAGTTCATTGATATAAAAAAACCCAATAAAAGTTCTGTGAGAAGAAGACATAAAGAGAAATGCTAGTGAAGACTTATGGCCTAAGGACCAGCTGTACAGAAAGGAATATTTCCAATATTCTCTCCTGCTGTAAATCAGGCACCTTAGGCTGGAGTGTTGAAACCCATCTACTCCTCTCTCAGGCTCATCCAAAGCATATCTTTTATCTTCAGCCTACAACACAGAAACAAAAATCTTTATTATCAGTGCAAATACATAGCAAATTTCACCATTAAAATGAATCTAATAACTCTCTGTGATTAAGCAGCCCTAGAAATTTCGTATCCTTTCTCAGAAACTCTGGGTAAACAGACAAACGGCACACCTTCAGCTGGAAAGTCATATACCAATTATCTGTGGCCTTAGCAGATATTTGATAGTGCACTTATAAAATTTAAAAAAATAAAATTAAAGAGATCTCTTCATGTGCCCCAGCATTTTTTCTTATAGTATCCACCCAGTGTTCTGAAATTCTCCCTCCTCTATGTAACTAACTCATGGCAATAGAAAGAACACTTAAATCAGCTGCTCACTGCTGTTGGCAGTGATGAAGTGTATTACCCTACAGTGATGGTGGTTGGAAGAGTACCCAAATGACTAGCAAATGCATTATTACCTTTGATTGGACCTTCTGCTTTTCACCCGTGACTTTTCTCACATGCACTTTGTCTGCAGATGGAAAGCTATAAAATTTAGAGAGGTATTAGATTCCCAAGTAGACTACTTTCAAAAAATGCAGGATGAGAATAACAGTGCCACTGTGGAAAGGTCCCATCAGCCTCCACAGAATGCAGTACCAAACAGTTCAGAAAATTTCTGCCAGACAGGTGATTCAAATTAACTATTTAGATGCATATTACAAGGGGGTAACTGAATTATTCGATATAATTGTTCAGAATTAAGAATGGAGATGATCCTAAAATTAAAAGTGCATGAGGAAAATAAACCACCCACAGCCAGAAAATCAACAGTTGCAATACAGAGCCAAGGCTATCATAATTCCAGCCTTAGGAAATCCCTTACTTATTCTATGACAAAACTGGAGTTGGAGATGCAGGCATGGAGGACACAAAAGGGAAAAGATTTCTCTTTACAAGGTAGTATCAGTAGAAACAAAACTAAATCGGAACTGTCCAACTTGCTAAGAAGTTCAATGCAAGAGAAGGATATTAATTTTGTTTACAATATTTTATATGGGGTATATCCAAAGGTATTTGAATTCAAGTGATAGAAAAACCAATGAAGAGCTGCATTCAAGAGTTAAAAAAGTTGTTTGCATGACGTATTAACTGACAGACTGGAAAGTAAGAGACTACAGGGGCAATAGGAAAATCACATTATTTTCTAGCTTTTGCTAAGGTGTATTTAGAATAATTATTCTAGTTGTAAATTCTAGTAAGGCATCAGTATAATTATTCAGGTTTTGTACAAATGTAATGAGAGCAAAACATCTTGCTTTTATGAAGATACTGTTATGATAACATCTATATTCCAGACCTTCAAAATAAAGCTTCAATCTCTGTACCTGGTCATATCAGTCTGTGTTTGAGCTTCCACACACTGCTTGCGGCGATTTTTCTTCTTCCTTCGAGCAGGAGTGTAAAACCTGTACTCTGACAGGAAAGGTTTAGCATTTGATATTAAGGTGCGCGGAGTGAAAGGTTTGCGGCTCTTAGTGAAGCATTCAGAGTGCCTCTCCAGAAGATCCCCGCCGCTGGCTCCGAGGTGGTTTCCTTGGCACCTCTGGGAACAGTCAACGCTCACGAAGCTCTCGATGGAGTGACTGCGTGGGAGTGCAGAGTGTTTGCATGCTGCTCTTGACACACAGACACTTGAGTAGGATGCCCCGGCTGCATGCCGAGAACATTTCCTGGTGCATTTCACTGGACTGGAGTGAACCAAGCAATCCTTGCCATAAGGAGATGGTTCACTTGATAAGTACTGTGCCTGCCCAGTAGAGGGTGAGACACTGTCTTCTGCTTCCAAGAGACTCTAGGAAAAAAATAAAACAATATTTGATTGCTTTGCAAGTTACCTGCTTTGCTTATGATGGTACTCCCAGCAATTACTAGGAGCTACCCAGCTGGTAACTGGGAGTTACCAATTTGGAGGTATTTTCTAAGTAAAAACTTTCAATTTTTGTAAAATCAAACTGGTTTCACAGCAGTCTCAGTGCTAACAGATTTTAAAACCTAGTCACTGGAAATGAGAGAGTAATAAGGAAATGGTTTACTTCAGTAGCAAAACATTGGTGCTCTGTTACAGAATATTGATGGCTACATCAAAGCAAGAGTTTAATCAGTAAATTTTTAGAAGTCAAGAAATCATTCCATTGAGGCAGATTGTTTTATTTGGATATGCTCTTTTCATACCACCTGGGCAAGCTAAGGCACACATATCCATAATTATACCAAGCTTAAAAATTCAACATTATTCCAGAATTGTATTATGACACTGTGGCAAAGACAAATAAGACAGAAACACAACTAAATTCAGGTGATAGTTTAAGGTGGAGTTTTTGGCTGGTTTGGGAGTTTTTTGTTTGTTTTGTTAAATTAGAAAGAACAATTAAATAGAAATTTTATTTCAGTCATAGAGTTGTGAAAAATTTGCACTATCAAACCAAAGATACCTGGACAGGGTATGCACCCTCGTAATTTTGCTCTACAATGTGTCTGAAGCACCTTATGAAAACAGCTGTTGTATGTTCTTTTCCTACCTAGGATACAGTCACCCACCTGAATATTCTGTCAATCAGTGAAAATTATGTATGACTTTTGACAGTCTCCATGGGCAGGCATACTGCAAAACTGGAAGATTAAACCAGAAGACTATCAGCAAATAAAATTTTGAATAAACCAATTTATTGCATCCACACACGTAACTACGAAATTCAACAACTGTGTGATGCAGAAGAGATGGCTCCCACTGTGTGTACTCTAACTATCCAGCACCACAACTCCCAAAGACAGGGTTTACAGTGCAGCAGTGAGGGAAACAAGCTGAGGATAGTGTTATTCTGGAAAATCTCACTGCTGTACTTTGCAATCAGCAAGGCAAAACAACAGCTGTTTCCATACCCAATTCAAAACCAACAGCTAACTTTCTAAAATTACTATCATACTTTCCTAACACTAGGGCAGTTGATATAGGTCCACACCATCAGCAACAAAGTGTTTTAAGATTTTTAAGAGAATGTATACAAGTAGAGGTGTTTCCCAAGAAGAAAATTAAATTTCTAAGGCCATTTGAGGTTCTTAACAAACTTGAAGTTTAGTTCAGATAGGCAGACATAGAAATTAACTTATCCATGTACCTCCACCACCTGAAAAGGAACAGGAAGACAAGGAGACACCAGCACAGAGCATAAACTCTGCACTGACAAAAGGAAGACAAAGAAGATGGTTTCCCTATGTGTTTCATTCATTTGTATCATACTTCTATCAAACAAGTAAAAATTATTAAGCAGAAGCATTACATTACTGAAGTTACTGAAGGAACATGTACCCTATGGGAAGCCTGAAAAAGAGTGGATGCAGTATGGTATGACTTATACCGTGACATTCATTTATTAATGACATACAAACATAATGCCAGTTGAGAAGATTCACAGATTCACCAAGTAGCCTATCCTGATCTCATAATTAAGCTATGTGGAAACTACTTTGAGAGAGTAAGAGTGAAACACAGATCCAGTGCATTTCCAATGGGGCTTCATTGCCTGAGCACAACAGAAACCTTGAGAAAATCCTCAAGAACACTTAACTGTTTGAAAATAATCAGCTGATTAAGATGTGGATTGAAGGCTGGATGTGTGATTTTTCCCCACCAGGAAGTGACAATGGACTGAATGCCAACAAAAGTCACAAAACCACTGTAAAATAAAGTGTCTGTGGGGATTCTGCAAGATAACCAATACTTGTCCTGAGACTTCTGAAGTCTCCCACTGAGGTGGGCATGGAGAGAAAAAAAACCCCAATGACCAAAACTGGAAATCTTTATACATTTATTGAAAATTCATGACATTCTAACCTACAAATAGATAGTGTAAGATAGTAATATATTACTAGCAAACCAGTAAGATATAGTGTAGTACACCAACCTATATAACTGGTAGTACAGCTTGTAAATATACACAGATTTTCTATTCTAACATTCAACCCTAAAAAAGGTGTTTTTAAAAATTCTTAGCAATAGACTCTTACTGTATAAATGCTCCAGTTTGTCATAACACTGCTAATGTTATTGCTTAGAATCTATACTATTTCATTCTTTTTCCTTTCAAACACAGTATTTTAAATTAAAGCTCAATTATGATGAATATACATTTTGTAGCATGCAGTAAATGCTATTTACAGGAATATTAAAAAATGCAGGTATTTAATTGTGAAAATTAAGTCACAGATCACACTGCCATCATAACACATATTTCCTTCGTAACAATTTTCTCTCATATCAGTAAGATCTATCTAAACTATTCCAGTACCCCAAAATAGCCAGAGTTGCTGGTACCTAACGCAAAGAAATTTTCTTTTACTTAGCTGAGGCAAAATAAGCTCTTCTTGATGGTGTCTCATGTGAGTCAACTGTTATTTTACTACTACAGCATAATTAAATGCTGAACTGATAACATGCAGTTACAATGCCAAACAAATGCCTGTGTTAGCAAGCAGAATAATGAGGCTTACCAGTGTGATTGTTTGCATATAAAGTAGTTGCAGTGGTAGCTCAGCACTATAGAAAACAGACAAGACTGGAAAGTTTCAGCATCCACCTATATAGATAAAAGCTAATTCCATACCCTTCACAGCTTAATTCTTGTGAATGCTTTACTCTCAGTGACTAAAGCAGTTCATTGAGCTGCAATATAAATTGTATTGTAGAAGCATTTGTGAGCATGAGGACTGGTTCCCTGCATTAAGCAAAATAATTACTAAGGAAATATATGAAGTTATATTAGCCGATTATTTATCTACACCTCACGAAAATGACATGCTCTGTTCCTCAGAAGCAGTTGAATTGATACAAAACAAGACAAAGGCACAAGGTTGACATGGCAATATCCTAAATTTAAGCACTCCTTATATATGAGGAAGCTTAGGGCATTTATCTTCTCCTCCTTCTCAAATATTTCCTAAGTAGAACAGACCAAGCACCTCGCTAGTGAATAGAGAAAAACTGCAACCCAAAGCTGCATCTGTGTCAGCTGTGAGATGTACTCATTCAAATACTGAGAAAATAATGTCTTTCAAAGCTCTTATCCTGAGGCAAAACTTTACTACTCAAACAGGGAGAAGTGCACTCCAAGTAGACAAAGAAACAATATCATTAACCAGGAATTATGTTACTTCAAAAGATTTTAGAAGATTTTAAGGAGTGTCAGAGAATGCTGTTTGTCTGCAATTTGTCTCTTTTGAACTTCCAGAAAATTGTCCTGTGTTGCAAATAAACTGTAAGTAAGCATGCTCACTTTCCGCTGTTTCCTATAAAAAACATCAGATGTTTAAGTAGGAAACAAAAAAAGACAAAAACGTGCCAACTAATAGCACACTTATTAAAATACATTTAGTTATATTCTTCAAATAAAATAAAAAAATCCATTATAGTATCTGAACTTTTGCTATTAGAACTATCAAGAACAATAATTAATGTAATTTGGAGTAAAAAAATCTTGACTTTTATCTTGCTTATCAATATATGTTTCTATTCTGTTAATTCAACCAAATATAATCTGTTTTGAAAGATACAAATCTATTCAATGATACATTTCAGCAGCTCCTTAAAAAAGTTTTATAAAGCATGTATTTATGCTTCAATTTTATTAGTCACAAAACTGAGGTAAACTGAACAGTACTTTGCAGCAAGCATGTAGAGAGAGGACCTCTGAATTTTCATGGACTCTGTGGAAAAGAAAATTCAGTAAAAAGAGATCAAAGCATACTGCTGTCATCTGACGGGCAAAAGTAGTAACACAGAGAAAGAATCCAGATTTCTCTATAAGTTACTTTTAATTTCTACAAGAAGTTTAGTTTTCCAGCTCAAAAGCCACTAAAGTATCAGCTGCCTTATAAAAACCAAACTTTGAAAAGAAAGGTTGCTAAATACTTTTTCACATAAAAGGTCCAAGGCAGCTCTCACTGGGGTCACTGAAATTACAGTAAGATTAGTTTAATCTTGAAATTAAGTTGTTCTTGTATGAAAATTTCTTCCAATAGAATAGTTCATCTACCATTATAAAATGAGATCAAAGAGATGCTTTATGAACTGCACTGTCAGGATACAGAAGCTAAAAATTTGCAATAAATGAATGTATGATTCTTTAAACTTGAGAAAGCCATTTAAATATTGCTCTAAGTCAGCTGAGCACCTGCTCTCTGCTGTCTGGACAGAGCAAAACTTTCCTATAGGAAGTGACAAGCTGCCTTTAGAGAAAATTCATACAAATACGTGAACAAATTGGGCCTTCTGAGCAAAACTTTCCTATAGGAAGTGACAAGCTGCCTTTAGAGAAAAAATACGTGAACAAATTGGGCCTTCCATAAATATATTCAGTTTGTATCCTGGTATCACTATTTTTCAAAACTATGGTCCTGGTACACTCTTTCATTTTGTACATGTGTGTGTGGGAGTCAATTCTTTACTGTAGTAGTTCCTGCTTTTATCAAATACTGTGATGTTATTAGAAGGGTATTACTGACTGTGCACTAATTCAAACAACCAGCACAAGAGGTGATTGTTGCTATGAGGCCTGAAAGCAAATCTGAATATTCCTAATGAAAACAACTTTCTTTGATGCCCAGAAGGTTCTTCTGCTTTGTTTAGTCACTGACATCTTCCATTATGACAGAACTAACTTAAGCACAATACATGTTCAGACTGCTGGTATCATAAGAGTGTAAAAAATCTTTAAATATAAAGCATTTCAGTAGGCATTTCAAGCAGCCACATGTGTGTTGCATACAAAATTAATAAGAGACTAGAACCAGTTAATGGTGTTTCCCAATCTATATTTCATATGCACAAGCAGATGGTCACAACCTTCATTCTTCAGGAAAAAAAAATGAATCTCAAAAAACAAGCTGAAAGGGATCTTGAAAGGTTAAGGCAATAGCACATTTCAAAGGGTTCAAAGAGAAAATTTAACCTCCTATGAAGCAGCCTTCCTTCAACTGACTTTTGGCATGGATTAATTTATTTAAAAAAATTCATTAGCAGCCAGAAATGCCTGTTAATAGGATTACTTGGACACGAGATATAAAATACCAAGTCTTGTTCAAATCAGAGCTTTTACTGACGGCCAGCTCAATTCAGGCAGAATTTTAGAAAATCTTATTTTGAAAAACAAAGGAAAAAAGCCGCACTTTGTTATAGTGCATCCTTTCATTTTAAAGCTGGTAATTCATGTAGTAATTAGAGACACATGTTACTTGGTTTTGCAATGAAACAATTTAAGGAACTTTGCCTGCCCCAAGTTTGAAAAAAATAACATGAAAGGACAAAAATGGTATTAATAAAAAATAAAATTTAGATTTTAAATATCACATTTTCTCCCTTTTCTTATTCATGCCTATGCTTTCATCCATAACTAGGAGCCATGTATTGAATTTCAAAGCATTATTTCTCTGCACTGCAATAAGGTCACACTCAGGCTGCCTGCTACAAAAATCAGTCACACAGAAAGAAACTGACAGTGTTTGCTGTACTACTTGGAAATGTCCTCTAGCTTTACTGATATTTAAACAATGTGTGAAGCTTATGCTGTTAGAATCACAGAGTTAAATCATTACTCTGTTTTAAGCTGCAATTATTCATTTACAGTGATGAACAAGAATGTAATTTATTTGGCTATTTATGTATTTATTTTTTAGTTAGAAATACACACCACATATCCTGATGAAATGCCAGCCAAACTAAGTGAGCCTATGCATATAAGCAGAATATATATGTGCAGAATGGTATATTTTAGTCCAAGCATTATTTCTGCTTTCAAGAAATGCAACTGATTTCGTATATTGTTAGATAAAAATGTATTATCAACTAGGACTCTTTATTATGAAAAAAAATGGAAGATTCCTGGTTCTTCTGCTTAGAAGGGTAGAGGTAACAGAGCTCTGCCTTACGAAATGGTACAAAGCTCTGGAGTGACAGAGGACAGGAATTTCAGCTGAGGTGAAAGCAGGAGAATTTAAGGGTAATTAGAGCTTGTATTTACTGCAAGCACTCTTCATCCAGATACCTGACATCTTTGTCAGAAGGTCAAGATATGCATTCAGTGTTGGGCACATGCCAGGAAGACCTTTGTCAGCTTTCTGCTGCTTGAAAGATGCCAGCCCTCACTGCTACACAGCACTGATCAGCTGTTATTATGGGAGGGGAGTATATGACAGTATCTACTAAACAGAATTAAAATACATACCTTTCTAAAAGAGGATGGCAGCAGCCTTCCACTGTCTCTTGGACAGGATGGAGAGACAGTTTCACACAAACTTATCTTCTGTCCACCTCTGGCTATCTTCTTTTTCAGTTTCTCTCTTCTTTGCTGGTCAGCAACTTAGGGAAGAGACAAAGTTGGTCAGATCCAAACTGAAATATTCTTTGTTTCCCTAAGTGATTTGGAAACCACTACATTGTAGTGGTTTCCAATTGCTCAGTGAAGTCAGACTATTGAGATACATTCCACTTCCAACACACAGCAGTTATAAAATTTATGTCTACTCTTAGAAAAAATAATTAATAGAGTATACTTGTAGCTGAAGCTGTGCCTTAACTTTCCTGAAATTTTCTTACCTCACAACAAACACCAGCATACAGGACTTCCAAGACCAGTATTGCTAACAGAGCATTTTGCTCAAAAAGTTACAAACTTTCTATCAGTTTTTTTACAGCTAGACTGTACTCTCAACCAGTATTTCACAAAAACCCCTGTGTTTATGGTTAGCAAATCTGACATGTAAAAAAAAATCCACACTTACAGCATGGAATTTCCTAAATACAGAATCCAGGGCAGAACAAGCAAATTTTTGTCAAGAACACAAAAAAACGAAGGCTAGCTCTGAGAGGGCTACTGTCAGATAAGAGTGGGGCATTTTCATCAGTCCACACTGGTCTGCAGTCCAAGACCTCACCTGCAGTGCAAAAAGTTGAATCGGGTATCTATGTCATCACATGAAGTCACCCAAAAGATGGGTAAATTTTCTGTGTACAAGTTTGCATCAGTCACTTAAATCTCACACAATACAGTCCGAAGTTTTATGCAGATTGTGAGCAGCCAGGTTTCACAGATGAAACACAAAATCATTTAAGTTAGAGAAAACCTCCAAGAGCAAGTCCAACCTTTGACCAACCACCACCTCATCAAGTGAATCACAGCACCAAGTGCCACATCGAGTTGTTTCTTAAACACTTCCAGAGGTGGTGACTCCACCCCCTTCCTGGGCAGCCATTCCTATGCCTGACAACCCTTTCCATGTAGAAATTCTTCCTGATGTCCAACCTAAATCTCCCCTGTCATGGCTTAAGACTGTGTCCTCTTGTCCTGTTGCTGGTTGCCTGGCAGAAGAGGCTGACCATCATCTGGCTACAACCTCCTTTCAGGCAATTGTAGAGAGTGACAAGGTTTCTCCTGAGCCTCCTTTTCTCCAGGCTAAGCACCCCCAGCTCTCTCACACACTCCTCACAGGACTTGTGCTCCAGACCCCTCACCAGCCTTGTTGCCTTTGTTTGGATGCACTCCAGCACCTCGATGTTTTCCTTGAAGTGAGGGGCCCAGAACTGGACAAAACACTCAAAATTTGCAAAGTTGAAAAATCAAAATGAGGCTGATGAAAAGGTTACTAATTTCATTCCCAAATAGGGAAAAAATAAGCAAACACACTTTTGAAGTCTGTATACCAAATGAAATTTTCTCATTCACTTAATACATATCCAAGTATGCGAATAATTTGCTTGATAGAGACACACAAAGGCATTTGAGGATTTCTTCTCTGGTTTCATAATATATTTATATCATACTCTGGGAGACCCCAGTTTGCACATGCACTACTATATTTAATGCATGGAAATGTAAAAAACTTCAGGGATTGGTGTGGTATACTCTTCTACACAGCTGAGACCTATAGCAATCTGAGGATGTTTAATCAACCTTTAAAATGCATTCATCTGTGTACCCTACATACATATTAATCTCCAGGAAATACTTATGTAAGTGTACTCATTGGATTTAAACATTTTAGTCCCCTTTCAAGATGGAATTTAATCTTTCACATGTGAAATCTTTGCTCTTATTGCTCAGGAAAATCCCTCTTTCTCTTTCTTTTAATTCTTACAATTGATATGTAAAATATAGAGTAATGTATTTTATGGCTGCTGATTTATCCATCATACGCTATTAGAGTACTTCCAATATGAGATGAGAAAAAATTAGCTGAAGTTAACAACTGCTACATTATACAACTCTGAATTAAAAATATACATTTTAACAGAATGATAAAATATACCATACCATTAAATAATTAAAACGGAATGTTTTTCTTTTTATACTGAGTTACTGTGTCTGTTCTAAATCACTATTATTTCTAATTGTGTTTGTCTTAACAGTTACAGAGAAGCACTCAAAAATTAGTTACAGGTTAGACATTTCATATGTTTGAGATAAATAATTACTTATTCTGGGCCAATACAGCATGTCTGTGTGTGCACATCCATGGAGGCCATAAAAACTCACATCTTGCCTACTGCTCAGGAAAAATGCTGATGGCTAATTGAACAAATATCTAGAGAAACAATGGGTGAATGAGAGCCCTACAAAGCAAAAATGCAATACATACAGAAGTATGGGGAAGGACAAGTAGGTGTCTGAATCAGCAAGTTCCTTACACTCAGGTGCTTAGGTGAGAAGTGGGTTTGCCTAAGACAATAAAAGCTTTAACATTTTACTGCATGTTCCACCTGCACACTAGGCTTAACAGGAGTGTCTGGGCAAAGTGCAAAGCAGTGTGAATATTACTGCAAAACAGAATTCCCATGTTGTCCTTATTCTGCTCTTTATAAAGGAGAAACTCTGAAATTTGACATACATGCATGCCTTTTCAACTGGCATTCAAAGCTGTTAAAAAACCTCTTCCAGGACTGGTGCTGTGACTTTTCACCCAAAGCATGGCTTATGCCCGAAAATAAAGAACAGTAAGGATTCCAGCTAAGGCTATCTCAGGATATCAGAATGACCCACTGGGAGTACCATCACCTGCATGGGAAATGTGGAGTCCTTGTCTCACACCAGTCATACAGTGAGCTTAGCTCAGCTAATCCATTAAGTGTGCTCCAAAAGCCATAAAGTCACTCATGTGTACTGAAAGGCAGCACAGACATGCAAAACAGAATGTCAGAAAACTCCAGTAATGTAAAAATTTTATTGCCAAATCAGGAATTTTCAGGCTAGATCTGTGGTAAGAGCTAGGAATTTTGAAACCAGCAAAGTAAGAGATAGAAAAATCCTTCTAAAAAGAGTTAATGTAGATGTTAACAGCTGGAGGCAAGTTAGAATAGCTCTGGGGCAGTCAGCAAGTAACACACATAAATGCAGAAATAGGCACGCTGCCCTACCTCTCCTTACTTCACGTCCTCTACCCATGCAAAGACTGGAGAATCCAGTCTCATGCTTTGACTTCAGCCAGATAGAAAACTTGCCTGGAACTCTGAGGCAGTAATTTCACTACTACAACTGAGAGGAGCTGAAGATACTTAAGGCTGTCATACACAACTACTTGTGTTGCAGTGTGAATATATTAAACACAGAAAGAAAGAGACCAGCATCAAGAGACATCCAATTTCAGAAGAGAGATTTAGTTTTTAATTTAAAACATTGCTCATTGTTTAAGGTATCTTCTGCTTCAAATCCATTACAGATATAAAGCTTCTTTAGCTTTCAGTGAGGTCCATAAACTAAATCTGAAAGAAGTGCCCTTGGCTTACTGTCATAGACTAGTGGGGAGTAAACATAAACTGCATTCGTTAACAGATAGTTAAAACAGTTTCACTGCAAGTAGCTTTTATTTGAATATTGGCTCCAGGAACATGTCACATATGCAGAGTTAAATATGGGAAAAGTACATAATAGTAAATATCTTGTGACAAATAAATGTAGAAAAAAAGAACACCACTGGGTTACTTTTCATCTTTTTAAAAGGGGAAAACAAAATGTGTAGCAATAAAATAATACAGTTTATAAATCCAAATAATGAGTCCCTTTAAAAGTCTTATTAGAGCTTTAGAGATTATCGCATTAATTACTGTGCTCAAAACCCCACAGATTCATAGTATAGTAAGAGAAAAAGTATTAGAATATAAACGATTTAGTGATTCTGTAGATCAGACAAATTCAGTCTGAACATAGATGCCATACCTTATTGCATCCACTCCATGAATCCATTCTCTTAATTTTGTTGTCAGTGAAAGGAAGCATAAGAAAGACTGAATTTCAGATGTTAAACTGTAGCACCCCTCATAAAGAGATACCTGTAAGACACTGATCAATCTTTCACTTTAGCCTACTCTTCCCAGAGTACACCACACTTCAAAGCAGAGATCATATCACTTTATCTCCCTTTTAGAATACTTCCTCTATAGGCTTAATTATTTTTGCTGTGAGGCTGAACTGCAGCAGCATTTCAAGACATGCTTAAAGTTAAAAAACAAATGTCATAAATCTGGAAGAAACTAACTAACCATATATATCACAGTCCTAGTCAGTTTAAAAGCGCTGCACTTAGAAGGACAGTATGATCTGGAATGCCAGCGGTTGTCCTTTGCTCTGAATTTCCAATTGCTAAATTTATCACATCACAAAACAGCTTGCAGTTAAAGTTATTTAATTTTTGATGTAAATAGTTGATGGCAACAATGAAATACAAAGTTAGATTTAAATTGAGTTCAGCTTACAAAACAATATATCACAAAGGAATTACCCAACACAGAATTTCTCTACTGTGTTTTTATATAAGCTATTTTTGCAATAACACACTTGGAGTTATTGTTTCCCTTTTGAATTCTTTTTTAGATAAATCATACAAACATCATCTTGGCTGAGCTTGAAGTGCCTAGTGACAATAACTAAACTGTCCATTGTATCAGTTGGTGATATTATTTCTGTAAGCAAGCCCTTCCTTCTCTAAGTATTTTTACTATCAGTTTCCTAGCTCTACATGAATTTCCAGTACACCATGATTTAAGCACGTGGGGTGAGATCACATCAAATGAAAACTGAATTTTGCCATTAGCTATGAAGTTTAGATTCCTTATAAGTCTAAATCTGAATTCCTTAACAAAGAAGTTTTAATTTTCATAACTCTAAGAGATGATTTTGCAGTCCTTTACATCCACTATCAGTAGCACTGTTTCATCAAACAAGGGAGGAATCACCATAAAAAAGAGTGACAAAGTATTTATTATGGGCTTGATAGGAAAGCCTTGCTTGTATCAAACAGAAAGTAACAGCTATAAGAGCATATGTACTTCAGAAATCTGATACTACTTGGCAAAGCTACTAATGGTGAAATCTGGTCATTGCTAAGACTGGGAAATAAAGCCTAACAGTGAGACATGAACCCTTCAAGCGCATTTCAGAAGAGGCTAGAAGCACTGGATTATCCCAAACCCATCCACCTCTGATGCTCCTATGGGCTCCTCATCAGCAGACATCTCCTACATACTTCTGTCAGCCTTAAGAAGAACACAGGAGCCTGCCAGCAGTGACTGCACACAACCTGTGGGACGCTGCACCAGCCCTGAAGGAAACATCTAAGCCTGCCCAGGTAACCCTCCATTTGTGCACCCTAGAGAGGGGTCCAGCGGGCTTCTAGTGGCCCTTTGACAGTGATTTTGTTTTCAAGGCACCACTGGGGCATTCCCCAAGGACAATTTAGACACACTGTACTGAGATAACACTGAAAATAAGTGGAATGTATAATCTTATTCTTGTTCTCTGGCATGCTATGGCTATTTTGTAATCCTGAGTAATGATGGACCATTGTAAAAAACAACAGTACTCCCCACCAGCAGACAGATGGTAAAGCTGGGTAAATTAGATTAAAGATCAGGAACACATTTTCAGTAATAATGATGAATAAGTACTGAAACATCTACAAAAGGAAGTTATGTTTTCTCTATTTCTTGACCTTTACAAGTCAAGACTGCAGGCTTTTCTTGTTTATGTGCTTTATTTATCACATTCCATATGGCTGTTAAGTTCCATATTAGAACAACTGGATGGAACTTTTGGTTTGCTTAACTCATGATATCAGTCTACACGACCTAAAGCCTTCTCACAACTAGAAGTTGTGAAAAATGTATTTTTGATATACATATCTGAAATTAATTACCTCATAAAAACCCCAACACCTTTTATTATAGAAGAAACTACAGTAAATAACTTCTGGGGGAAAAAATAACAAATCACTACAGTCAAAAGTACAGATTCATAAAGATTTTTTTCTAGAAGTTTTCCTGCTCACCAAATTTCAGACTTGATAAATATATTAGAGCACCTTTCAAAGACATAATACAGGCATTAGAATTACCTGAGTGTTTGAATTTAAAGAGCTTTTTTTAGTTGCTTATAATTTTCATTTTCAGAAGTACATACTTGTACTTACAGGACAAGATTTAACAGAAAAAAAAAAGATAGGGTGATTTTGTGAAAACATCCTGTAAAATGGCAGTAACAATAAAACAGGTAAAACAGTTTTTCATAGATCTCTGCTTTTTCATAATGTAAAGTGTAAACAGATATATGTGTTCATGGGAAAAATTAAGATTTTAATACAGAATTATATAACAATATGTATTTCTTGATATTTTTGCTAGAACTTAACCCATTTAAAGGGTAGAAAACCAACATTACTATCAGTCTGAATTGCTGCCTCTCCGTCTCTCACTGCCCTCCCTCCAAGAATCCAAGTTCCACCAGGCTAGAATAGATCTATGGTCAATAATTTCTCAGAATATTTGTTTTCCTTCTTCTTGTCCCCCTGCCCCGGTATCAAAGAGACCTGCATTCCTAAGCACACTAATCACTGAGTTCAAGCTGTACTATCAATATGCCTTGTGGAAAAACCTCTAAACATATGGGTTCAAAAGTTAGTACTGTTAGAAACCAGGCATGTGTAGCAGCAGCTGTCTTACTTGGCATAGCCTTTGTCAAGTTTTCTGGCACAAGTTTCACAACCACAGACTTCTAATGGCCACTGGTATCAATCAACATGCTTGGACTAATTCTGAACATAGAAGTTTCACATTTCAAGAAGCTTCACATTCTAACAACTATTTTAAGTCAGTAAGCCTGATCTAATACACAGGAACATGCTCACTGCTAGCCCAGGGGCATGGCACCTTGCCTGCTTTGCTGCCAGCTAAGATACCAGGAAAAGAACAGTGGAAACTAAATCCACTTTAAGGACAGAACACATTCAGTTGGCCAGGGAGAATGCCAACTACAGTATCATGTTTAATTCTTAAACACTAATGACTGATTCATGGCAACAACCCCAAAGGGAAATACTCACCTGCTATTCTAGCAGTAGATGAAGCACATTTTCAGGAGGTATTTTTTAACACTATCTGCAGGAATTCTGTTTTGTAACTCTATGCTATTAATAAATCTTATAATTTTAAACTAAATTTACCCCTTTGCCCAAATTTTGAAATAGAGGGGGAATAGAAAGTTTATTTGGAATGCAATAACTACACAAAGAACACAAAAAGAAAAAAGTAATAATAGTAACAATATGCTTCAGTTGAAACAATGACATGCTACTGAGAGAACTACTCACAGTGAACTACCGTGAGAATAAAGGTGCAAACCCCTCATCCTCAGTGACACTAGGGATACTGCTGATATTCAACTACCTTGAAGCTAAAATTGTGCCAGGATAAATCACGAGTCTCATCTTGAGCAAGAAAGAAGAAATTATTTTGAAAGTATTCTAAAACCCCTTTTCCATTGCTTTTCTTTCTCAGCATATTTGCAACATTCTTACTGTCTGAGCTATCAGCTGTCATATCCATGTAATGTTTCACAAAATAACAGAGAAAGAAAAATGATTCTCCAGTGGTTTACCAAAGACTCTACAAATGATACCTTGCACTGAGCTCAACACCTGAACATGTCACACTTGGTTGCAAGGTCATTACAGTACAGAAATCTGTATTTCTTGATGAACAATGCATAGAACAGCAGGGAAAAATGCAGTCACTCTAATTCTAGGTATGAAATAAAATTGAAATAATTTTAAATTTCATTACAAAAACCTTGAATTTATAAGAACAGTGCAGAAACTGAACAAGATATGCCTGGGTAATCTTAACTTTAAATACCGAGAAGTCAGTGAGACCAAAAATGATGAATTTGAAAGTAGATGTTTCCCATGGAATTACCTCTTTGATAACTGCAAAACTTTCAGCCTAAATGACAGAGTTTCGTAACTGTTTGTAAAGGAATCTCAATCAGATGGAACAGCATATAAAGTAATGCAGGTCAGAAAAAAAATATCAGTTACATGTACACATTGAGCAGTGAGAGAAATCCTCAAAGGCTTTTGTTAAAAAAGGTCCAGCATTTTGTCTATGCATTTGTAGCATATACTTAAGATTATCCTATCTCTTGCAGTCGAGACACTTCTGCCATTGACAAATGAACTGTCCTGATAAGCATAACTAATTCCTGACAGCCCAGATCCATCTCTCCAGCATTCCATTTGATGCAGATTCAATGTATCTACAAGTAGCTGAAGAAGGATGTGAAAGCTGAATAAAGAAGCAGACACATGAATGCTCAGTTAAGGGTTATATGCTATTGTTACTCTTTGCTGGCTCTTTTGCTAAGTAAGTTTTACAGAAGCATTTGCAGAATCAACATATAACAAATACTTACGTTTTATGCTGGCCAACCTACTTTTGGGCAATGAACAGTCTACAGCTGCTGAAAATAAGAAAAACACCAAATGTGAGCAATTCAATATTTACTTAGTATACGTGATAGCTAGAAAAATGTAGTAATAAACGAACACAAAACAAAGACTAATTTAATTCTTTATTTTAAAACATGCTGTTACTGTGTACCTAAAGTATTAGGTTGTCATTAATACGGTCACAGGATAAAGCTCTCTGGGTAAAACACATATTTAAAGGAAGAATCATCACTTAAATGAAGACTCCTTTCAAAAGGTTTCTGTACATTTTGTTCTGATAGCATTTACTTGCATACCTGAGGATACTGAGCATGTCACAAGACATAACATTGTGAGCATTGTATTTGTGAGCAGGGACTCTGTCAGTAACATGATTTTCTCAGTTGCAATTACACAGGGCAATTTTCACAGTCCTTAGAATTCGCTGTTACTATTCATTACAAGATGAACAAAAGATTATTAAGTTTTTGAAATAACAATAATAAAAGACATTGTGATCTGAGTTTAAGTAGAAATGTTCTGCCTTCATTCCTAAGATAATTTCTGTATGTCTGCTGTTACAACTATCACTGTGACTTTCAGTTCAGCCTATTATTTCATAATTCATTATTTCGTCAAAAGCAGAATGAAGCCAATACAGCACAAAGTGATCTAAAATTAAGGTACAATCTTTGGTAACATTTAAGGAAAATGTTTTCATACAAAATGTCCCATCTCAATAATACAAAAGTATGATTAAGTAGCAGCCACATCTTCTTGCTGACATGTGTTAAGAAAAAGGTGACACGTGGTAAGAAAAAGGAAGAATAGTAAACTTCCTACAATTCCGTTCATTCTTTCTTATGAGCCTATTCTGAGAGACTGAGCTAAATTTAGGGGGAGACTGTTCATTCATACATGCACACTTTTACCTTTGGCTGAAAGAATTCTGTTATAATGAACCACCATGTGATCTCTGATCAGGTATTGGCTAGCTAGATTTCGAGCGGAGCCAAGGCAGAAAACTGAAAGATTAAAATACATTTGAACATTAGAAAGGCAAGTAAAAGAATACGACAATTTTAAACAGTTATTAACTGCAATTCAAAGTCACAAACTTTAAGACACTGTTTAACTTCTTTGCTCAAAGGCAGTATTTTTTTTACCAGTCACTATCACGTGAAATTATCCTGTCTCCTTTTTCTATCCCAAATGAGCCATTAATTCAATAAATAGCTGCAAAAGTAGCTGAAATTGTACTATGAAAATGTTAACATGGAAACTTCCTGTTCTTCACTCTATGTTCTTTTGGAAAAAAAAGGTATCTGAGGTGTCAGTATGGCACAAAATCACACACTAGCCTATGTAAACTACTAGCTTGAAAGGAACATGTTTAACCTCAGGGGTTCTTTAATGTGGTAAACATATATATATAGATGTGTATTACAGCTAACAGAGATCGGACGTGTTTATATATTTGTTCATCTTGCTACCAATTTGTAGCCAGCAGTACAGTCAAGGCAAAACTAACTCCTTGAAAGTATTTTCAGTAATGCATACTAAATATAAGTACTGTTAAACTTCTCCAAATAAGCTCGATGCAGAAGTTTTAAGAAAAATATTTTAAGCACAAAATCAATGAATTCATAAAAGGAACCAAGGTGACCTTCTGATGAAAGTACATGTTACTTACCATTACTTTTATTACTTAAGTGTCCTTTAAATGGACTTGCTGGACCACATCTGGGAATGACAACAGCTGAGCATTCATTCATTTTAGCTAAATGTGAAACAAAAACCAAAGTTAGAGAAAAATCCCCCCACATATTTTTATAGACAAGATAAAGCCTTTCTCCAAAGAATGCAAGAATAGTTCTAATGGATGATCTTCAAAATCTTCTTCAATAATTTTAAAATCACTGAACTACAAGCGTAGTTAAATAATTTAACCTAAACACCAAGATGCAATGATAGCGCTCTCAGTGGTTCAGGGAGCTGACAGCAGAACAGACCATCAGAACACTTTAGTCTGAACTTAACACTGGTCATTAAACTGTACAGAGATACAGTCACAATTCTGTTTCTATGCTAACCTCCAATTTGTTTCAAAGTTCATGGCACTTTGATAGACTGGGAACTCCATAGACAACTGGAGATGCCAACAAAACTTAAACAACCAGTTGTTCTGAAAAATGAGAGGATGTGGATTAAAAGATCTGTATCTTCTCCGTGAAAACCACTGGCTGTCATGCAGCCTAAGACTTAAAAAATTGGCACAGGAGCTAATTAAGAATCTGCAACACTTTTAAAACAAATTTGGACAGGAGATACACTAGGACTACAAATACTAGTGTATACAGAGCACTGCTTTAAGGCATCCAAGGTATATAAAATGTAAACCAAAACTAACAGGATTTTTTTAACAGTGTAAGTATACCAACCACACTTACTTAACATTAATTCTAAAACTGTACAGAAAAGTTCTACAAATTTAATAGCATTAACTATCAAGGTCCACATGGTCTTCCCAACCCCACTGTACTTCTCAGCTGTCAGTTCAAGAGTCTGCAATCACCATGCAGGTGAAGTGGGTAACTCGACTGCTCTACTGCTCCTGTTGACCTCTGGCTTTCCCCCTTTCAGTCCATGAAGAAACACACTGGACCTAGCCAGTATGAGTGGGAATCTCCCCCCAGTGACCTCAGCCAGGGTGATAAAGGCAGACACCATTACAGACTGACCAGGGGTGCAGGGAGCCATGGGGACAGCCCTGCCACACATGGTAACAGCTCCTAATCCCACCTCTCAAAGCTTACCCAGCACCTGGCTGTCCAGGGCTTCTTTTTTATTTCCCACTGTTATATAACGACAGTTAAAGTACTATTGCAATTACATATACAACTACTATAGTATATAACTCTGTTTTTAAGTTCAACAGCATGTTGCAGAAGATGGTTAACATGGTGTCTTAAATATTAATTAGCAGAGATTGCAGTAAAACAAACCATTAATTTAACAATGTTTTAACATTATTTACCCAAGGCTTTATAAAAAAGCCATACTGTACTAAATTTTGACTAAGACTAGTATAGGATGCCATAAAAATATCTTAAGAAAAAAAAGAAAATTAAAAAAATTTTCCCCTGTTGTGAAATAACACTAAATCTGGATCAACAGATTCAACCTTTTTTCCAAAGCACAGAAAATACCAGGGCAATCTTGAATTATTTTCATACTTTGAAAAGCCAGCCTTTGTACAGTACAGGCTTCTGTGGATTTACAATATTAGCTGAGGTGTTTGCAATAACAGAACTCTCACTCCTTTTGCTGTGAAGTTGCCAGATCAGCAGTTGAAAAAGGACAAAGAATAAAAAAGAAGAAAATGCTATTGGAGATTGTTTTCAACACTGTCCTGCAATTGTTTTAACTTTATACTGTTATCGTTAAACCCAAAGGACAACACTCCTGCTTATCTGTATCAATTTCAAATTGCTCATTTACCTCATGGTACAACTCTTCCTTATCTCCTGTTTGTGATTTAAACATACATAAGGACAAACAATAAATTATTTTTCAAATATTAAAATTCCAGACATACAGCAAGAGTTTATTAGATTCATTAGATTCAGAATGTTTCCATAATGACTGCAAACCTTTTCCATTAAAGCATTTCTTTCCTATTAAAATATTTTATTTCTCTACCATACACTACTATATACAAGTGGTATTCACAGTCTAGCTGGATCCACCCTGAAACCCATGACTTCCAGAATTTACAACATGCAGGTGTTGGAAGAATGCAAGTCTTTGGGAGGACTTGAATGTTAGATTAAAAATTTGAGTTGATAGAATTTTCTCTAGCGATAAAAACCTGCATGCATATATACCTGCAATCCAGATTACAGCAGACAACTGAGAAAAAGAAGTGTTTCATTCACAATTGCTCAAATAACCTGAATATTCTACTTTTTTCTGTGCTTCAGAGCTAGGCTATAATTGCAGAGGGAAGCATCTGTGGTATTGTTAGGTAAATGCTTACAGTACCAGCTCTAACTCACCCTTATGTGACAGAATCCTAGAAGGGCAAGCATGATCACTTTAAAAAAACAGACATTGCTCTCTCTACCTGATTCTCTTCAAGTAAGCTAAATGACTTTGCCCCGCGTTAAACAGCATCAGGGATACTCGGAAACCTGTTGCCTTTACTGTCTTGAGCTGCAGACACAACTGTTCAGCACCGCAGGAAGACTGGACTTCACAATGTTCACTTGCTTTGCATCACCAGCAGATGGCACAGTGGAAATTCCACTGGAAAAACTGTCTGCTGGTTGGTTTAGTCCATTACAATTAATTTGTACCCGGGGCAGAAGCAGGGTGGAAAAAAATCAGTATTTCACAGACATCAGCATTTCACAGGCAAAAAAAGCTGTGAAAAAGTGTCAGTTGGAAGAAATAAAAAATATTCCTGTTCCCTCTATTTTGACTATGGGCATACAGATGACACAGAATCACTAATCATGAAGAAGCCTGTTGCTAACGTGAGAGAAGAAACTGGAGAATTTGGTATGTGCAGGTTCTTTCAACCTTACTGAAGGTAGAAAGTGCTAATGGTCAAAAGTTTCACAAATATAATTTCAGGCTGTCTTTTGACTTGAACGGGTATTTATTTGGATTCCAGCTGTGTTTTCAGTTACTTGCACAACAGCAGAAACAAACTGAAGGCTTAGATATGTGAGGAGAATTTTAAAGAAGGTGGGATTTTCAATAAATTACAGCTAAGCAAATATAAACCAAACAATGGGAGGATAACTATGAAAATATCTTTGATATATGACAGATTTAACTATCTGATCTAAATGTAAATTTCCTTATAGATATAAGTGGACTGTCCACACTGAATACAAAATCAGGATTTTCATATTGAGTGTTCTCCTAAAGTACAGACAGGAAACAAATTAAATACTTCTAAAAAATTTGTTTGATCTTTTAGTTCCTTCTATGACACTAAGCAATAATGAAGATAGAACAAAAAAGCTTTCTCTAAAATTTTTCCAGCTGCTATCTAACATAAGTCATAACTATAGTATCCCAAAGAGAACTGGAAGATAATTTGTTTAAATTATATTTTTATCTTAATTTAAAATGCATCCTGTCGTAATTTCTGATTTTACAGTATTAAAAGCTATATAAATTGGTTGTTTACTTTGTTTCCTGATTGTTAGTGGATATGCAGAATTTATACAAATGATTTTTCTACAAAGCCATTTCAGATTTGGAACGTGAATATGTACTGGAAAGAAGCCCAGTCTTTCATTAACATGTTCTCCCAGAAAAGATTTTAAACGTAAGTATTAGACTTACTATTTTTATAACAAGCATGTACTTCAGTCATAGCAAATCAAAAATGGATAAATAAATAAACCTATCATGCTACCTTTACCCATTAAGACTTGCTACTTAAAAGATAATCCATGAAAATTATCTTTTTATTATCTTTTAGCTCTGTAAAAACACAGAGACCTTAGGTGGGATAGGCATCTAAATCTAGCACTACAAGACATAAAACCTTAACTGTGTAGAGACCTGTGAACACTGTAATTTCCAAAAGGCAGCTCCCAGACCTTAGCCTGGGTTCAAACAACCCTCAGCCCCAGGTGGATTTAGACTTCAGGTCTCCCCAGCTGTTCCAGAAGAATATGCTTATCACTGTCAATATTGACCCTTTTGTGCAGCAGTTTGGTTTTGGTGGCTCCAGGACTCTCACATTCCTAGCTCTATAGTGGCCTCCTCTCAGCTGGCAATGCAAAAACACCTCTGCCTCTAACAGGCTAGAACTGCATCACTTGGATGAGATTTGGGCATTTGATCCCTCTGAGCCTGATAAGGACCCAAGCTGACAAATGCTTTGCAAAGACTCTGGCCACTGCAGTTATTTATAAAGGTTTGCTATTCTTGCTTCTTTTACTGCCAACTTTTTCTTCCTTTTTTTCTTCCCTAATATCTCAATGCTCTAAACCAGAAATAGAGAGACACCTTTGCACAAGTGGATAATTCAGGCAACAACATGCAGGTTTGTACTGTAAACTTCAGACATGTCAAGGATGTCTACCACTACCACCCTTATTCTACCAGCCAGTTTTATGACCTCTTCATTGGGCTTCTGCTATGAATTAACTCTTCTAACTCTATACAACTAACAGTACACAACAACACTAATGCTGTACACATGCTGAGGAAAGAAAGAAACTGATTTAAATAATCTCTGTAAAATCCAAAATGACTTCAAGCAGTGATGGGAACCCCTTTAAGCATCTCATCTAATATGTCTGACAAGGTAATACTTGAAGGAACTGAATTATGACCTGAAATACGTGTTCCTTGCCTTTTGATACTAGGAGAATTTTCAAACCAGAGTACCCATTAATTCTTTATGCTACAGAAATTTTTGTATATATGAATACAACACAGAAATACACAAAGGAAAGATGATAGCTCAGAGTACATTAAAAGATTAACCTAGTTATGAAAATTCACATTGGATTTAAACTTTATTTAAATAAGAAATTTTTTTTTCTATTTTTAACTGTTTTCCCTTCGTATTAGCATGATATACTTAAAAAAACCCCACATTCTATTAGTAAGACTACTAATGAGGCCAGCTCTCCTATTCAGGTAGCTTACATGTTTGTACCATTCCCCTAAACTCCTTTCAAATTTGCTGCCTGTTCCTTACCTGTGGCCATTCCTCCCCTCAAACACTCCCTACTTGCTCACCT